CCCCTTGCCCCCCAGCAGGTAAATGGAACGCTCTGCACCGTATTGTGACTTCTAACATTTACATTTTAGTCATTTAGCAGACGCTCTTATCCAGAGCGACTTACAGGAGCAATTAGGGTTAAGTGCCTTGCTCAAGGGCACATCGACAGTTTTTTTTTACCTAGCCGGCTTGGGGATTAGAACCAGCGACCTTTCGGTTACTGGGCACAACACTCTTAACCACTAAGCTACCTGCCGCCCTTATTGGTAACGGCCTATAGTTGGATGATGTTCATAGTACAGAACTCTGTCTCTCTGTCCCTGGGGTTGTGTTCTAATGTAATAACCATTCTCCATTTCCTGCTCAACTTTAACATTACTCAACATCTCTGTCTCTGTGGAAAGGAAAGACTACTGTGTATGCAATGTTATTTTTGGACAGGTTGAAGCTAAAGCTAGTCATTTGATTGTTTCTTCTTCAATGGGGCTAGATTTAGATGCATGTACGCTTGTTTCAGTCTAGAGGGAGAAATAGGTCCAGTCTTTGTACAGCGACCTCTTTCTCCTGACCTTGTGGAAGACCCTGTAGATCTGGATAGTTTCTCCTGACCTTGTGTGTGTCCCTGTAGATCTGGATAGTTTCTCCTGACCTTGTGGAAGACCCTGTAGATCTGGATAGTTTCTCCTGACCTTGTGGAAGACCCTGTAGATCTGGATAGTTTCTCCTGACCTTGTGGAAGACCCTGTAGATCTGGATAGTTTCTCCTGACCTTGTGTGTGTCCCTGTAGATCTGGATAGTTTCTCCTGACCTTGTGGAAGACCCTGTAGATCTGGATAGTTTCTCCTGACCTTGTGTGAGTCCCTGTAGATCTGGATAGTTTCTCCTGACCTTGTGGAAGACCCTGTAGATCTGGATAGTTTCTCCTGACTGTGTGAGTCCCTGTAGATCTGGATAGTTTCTCCTGACCTTGTGTGAGTCCCTGTAGATCTGGATAGTTCTCCTGACCTTGTGGAAGACCCTGTAGATCTGGATAGTTTTCTCCTGACCTTGTGGAAGACCCTGTAGATCTGGATAGTTTCTCCTGACCTTGTGGTGAGTCCCTGTAGATCTGGATAGTTTCTTCCTGACCTTGTGGAAGACCCTGTAGATCTGGATGAGTTTCTCCTGACCTTGTGTGAGTCCCTGTAGATTGGAAGTTTCTCCTGACCTTGTGGGAAGACCTGTAGATCTGGATAGTTTCTCCTGACCTGTGGAGACCCTGTAGATCTGGATAGTTTTCTCCTGACCTGTGGAAGACCCTGTAGATCTGGATAGTTTCTCCTGACCTTGTGTGAGTCCCTGTAGATCTGGATAGTTTCTCCTGACCTTGTGGAAGACCCTGTAGATCTGGATAGTTTCTCCTGACCTTGTGTGAGTCCCTGTAGATCTGGATAGTTTCTCCTGACCTTGTGGAAGACCCTGTAGATCTGGATAGTTTCTCCTGACCTTGTGGAAGACCCTGTAGATCTGGATAGTTTCTCCTGACCTTGTGTGAGTCCCTGTAGATCTGGATAGTTTCTCCTGACCTTGTGTGAGTCCCTGTAGATCTGGATAGTCACCTGTGTTTACTGCAGAAACTGAGGTGAGCATGACTTTGCATACAGCCAGCTCATATGACTTTATCCCTCAAAGGTGTTCCGCTCCTATGACTTTATCCCTCAAAGGTGTGTGTGTGTGTGTCGTTTGTTTAGTTTTGTGTGTGTGGGAAGTCCGAGTAGTGGTGTGTGTGAGTGTGTGTGTACTGTACATCTATAACTAGAGAGGCTGGTTGTAGTATGTTCTGGTGTTCTGGTGTTACTATTGGCTCTGAGACATCTGCTGTTGTCTAGGAGGATTAGTAGAGCCCGCAGAAGGAGAAAGGCATCAATCAGACTCTACTAATGGATCCTCTCAGTGTCCTGTCCTCCCAGACCCTTACCGTCATTACCTCCCTTCCATGCTCCATTACTCCTGTCTGGACTGACTACTCAACCTAATCACCTGGAGGGTCCTGGAGGAGACAGAAGAACAGCCATTAGTACGGGTTGTATAACCTGTGAGAGTGGTTAAGTGTGACGGTGGTGTTGACTGAACAGAGAAAGTAGGTAGCTGATGTAAGAGCTGAGATGACATTGTGGGAAGAGAATGACGTGTGTGTATAGATTAGTCTATAGGTTCAGGGGTCTCCAGTCAGACCTCACTGGCCACTCTGCCTTCCAGTCACAGCTAAGTTAACCAAGAGGTTAAACGCCAGGTAGTTTAACACACATTGTGAGTATACATTTGGAAAGCATTAGTCTAGATGATGATGGATTTGTCTGTGTGTGTATTTGGCTTCTACAATGGCGGAAACGGTTTTCTAGAAAGCTGGCGGTCGTTCCAACGGGGAACTGAAACACATGTTATTATCCCACAGATAAACTGGCTGCATCTAGTTTGATTTTACTATCATGGATGTTTAACTCCTGGCCCTGGCTTGAATTGTGAAAAGGTTTAGGGCTTAGTTAGGCCTACGATATATTGAACACAGCCTATAACCTATTAGAATAGGCTACATCATCTTGAACTTATTCAGTCATGTTATTTCTGAGTAGGGTGTTCTACCTGGTCTGGTATAAACATCAGGCTGTGGACTGGACTAGGACCTGACCCGCTTTATTCCTGTCTTCAGAACCTGATTTGGATCATCAATAGCCAGCAATGGATGCTATCAACATTACTATCATCATGAATGCTGACATTTCATCTGCTCTCATTCACTTTCCATCAGGGCTGAATGAGCCTGTTATTTCCCTGTTAGCCCTATGCTATAGAGCCCCACAGTGGAGGTGTCATAATTCCCATAAAACCTAGCGGTCAAACAGGGAAATATTTCCAATTGTTTTTCCACCATTCATTTTTCCCATAGGGGATTTAAGAAATTAAAATAAGGGCTGTCTTAAGTGTAGGCTTAGCCTGGCGTAGCGTTTTGATAACCATGTAAATCTCTCTCGGACAAGGTGACTTTTATCAATATATTAGTCTCTATTTAATCTCAGATTCAAAAATGCTAATTAGCATCAACATAGACATCATGCAAGACTACAAATCCCTGCAAGGTCCTGCACGTCATCTCTAGCTCACACCTTTGCTAACGTATTGTGTGAATTAAAAACTTTCACAAGACAGTTTACAGAACTGTCCGTTTTAAAGACATTTAGCCTATTTATTCATTACTACATTTAGCTAACATTAGATTAGATCCAGAGATTCTTACCTTTGCCTTGATTCAGCAGTCTCATCCACATCATCATGGCATTTGTAGTTCTTTATGAAAGCCACATTAGCAGCTAATTAGCATTTCATTTTTGGGAGGTAAATACAGGTGAATATATTGATTAAAAAAATACCAGCTGCGCAGAGGCGCACAAGATTGAACTTCACTCAACCTTACTAGAGTTTCGCCCCGTTAGTTTACACCAGTGTTTCCCAACTCCGGTCCTCCAGTATCCCCGACAGTACACATTGTTGTTGTAGCGCCAGACAAACACACCTGATTCTACTTGTCAAGGGCTTGATGATTAGTTGACAAGTTGAATCCGGTGTGCTTGCCCGGGGCCACAACAGAACATATGTACTGTTGGAGATACTGGAGGACCGGAGTTGGGGAACACTGCTTTACACTATCAATGTTTCCTTTACTGTGGGAATTCTGATCTAATCAACATATTAGTCCCTCTCAATGCAACAAACCAAAACAAATCTAACTATGCAAGACGGTTGTTTTAGGCAGAGCACATCGGAGGAGGATTCTATTGTATTGACAGGCACGAAACGGTTCGGGAGTAGATGAGCTTGTTTTGAGATGTTATCACACACAGAGCAGCACATTTGTTGATATTCTTTGCTAGTTAGTGAGTTATTATTAGCCCAGTTATAGCAATGGGGAAGTGATTGCCTCCTACAAGAGCAAAAAAGGTGTAGCCATCTTTGGAAAGTGAGTCAGTTAAAGAGCTTTTTATGTCTTAAAGGGGCAGTGTTGTATTTTGAGACAGGCTTGAATAAGCAGCCAATAGGCAGAGGGTGCCATACATTTTTGGTATGGGAATAATATGGAATATAAAGTAGTTTCTTGCATCAAACAACACAATACAACAATTTCAGTCACTTATATTAAAAATGTTTCATGTTATTTAGATTTTTTTAATCTAATGGAATGTAGGAATACATTGAACACCACACATTGGCTGCTACTATAGGCTGTATCGTAGAATTGCTATTTCCTTGAGAAAGTGTTATGATGGTAGGCCACTCTGATAGGCCTACATCATCATCACATGGCCTACTTGTACACTGTCTGTAACTGTAACTTAAAGCTGGTAAAGTCTCAGTGTTCGCAGTCAAGTTTCCGCTCAGCAGACCTGAAATTTACTCAGTGCCCCCCAAAAATGTAGGGAACACTGGAACTAACTCCTCCTTAGAACAGGCCCCGAGTCAGCACAGCACCATAGAACCCATGAGAACCCTTTGGAGGCCATGAGAACCCTTTGGAGGCCACGAGAACCCGTTGGAAGCCATGAGAACCCGTTGGAAGCGTTCAGGGCTCAACCCACCCAGTTTATGTGATGTTTAAGACCGAAGAACAGACGGTGTCGGACTGGCTTTGATTACAGTACCTACTTTGATCCCACTAACTCAAATGTTACCATCTTTTCTCTCCCCCCCCCCACTGTCTCTGTCTCTCTCTCTGTCTCTCTCGCTGTCTGTCTGTCTGTCTGTCTGTGTGTGTCTGTGTGTCTCTCTCTGTCTCCATCCCCTCTGTCTCTCTCTCTCTCTGTCTGTCTGTTTCTGTCTGTGTGTCTGTCTCGGTCTCTGTCTGTCTGTCTGTGTGTGTCTCTCTCTGTCTCCATCCCCTCTGTCTCTCTAGCAGGTTACCTGCCCCTAGGCGTGACACTTGGACCCAGAGGAACACAGACAGACATCCCGGTCCCCAGTCTGCAGTAGGTGTAGCAGAGAGAGAGCATGGCGCTGTCGTTTAAGAAAGACTTGGAGAAGTACAAGGAGATTGACGAGGATGAGATCCTTAACAACCTGTCAGAGCAGGAACTCAAACAACTGGAGACCGCTCTGGAGGAGATGGACCCAGAGGTATGGAGGGGCGGGGTGGTGCGTCTCTCTGCGTCTGTGTCTTCCTTGTGTTTACTCCTTGTTAGCTAGACAGACATCTCATTCTTATCAACGTTTAACCTCCAACTCAACTCTCGCAATCCTCAACTCTCAATGTTGTGAAATCTAAGGGAGAGGGAAAGAGAGCGTGTGTGTGTATTTATGTGTTGATTCTGCAGAGAGTCTGCCAAGTGTTTGTATGGTTATTTGCTAGCGGAATGGAGCAGAATGGAGCAGAATGGAGCAGAATGGAGCAGAGCAGAGTAGAGTAGAGTAGGATAATGAACCCCCCCCCAGAGCCAGAGTGAGACCAATAGCCCTTTTTAAACACTATTGTAGTGATATTACACAATACAAACCGACAGAAGTATTGGGAAATGTGGGAATAGGCCTATTTCAAGACACGTTACGTCTAAAGTAGAGAGCATCTTAAACATTATTCTTGTCTTTCACTTATAGACAGCATGAGTGAGATGAATCAACTAACTAGGCGACCATAGGAACACAACACATCACCGAATGTAGCCCTAATGTTTTTAAACATGGCACATGAATTCTCCAATCACCAATTGATCAATCAGTCAATAAACCCGTGTATCCACCCCTCCGTGTCTCCCCCCAGAATGCATTGCTGCCAGCGTCGATGCGTCAGAAGGACCACACAGTGAAAGCAGCCACCGGCCCCTACAGCAGAGAGAAACTCCTCAGTTATCTGGAGAAGGAGGCTCTGGAGTATAAAGACAGAGATGACGTAGTGTCATTCACTGGAGAGAGGAAAGGTATGGTACCTGGTGTGTGTTGAGACGGTCTACAGTGTCTCCCCTACAATTTATCTCAGCAGCTGTGGCAAAATTAGCTGGGGGAGGGGGGTCCGGGGGCATGCTACCCCGGTGGGGATTTTTTTTTTAGGAGAACGACTGTGAGAAATGATATTCTACTCCCAAATGCATGATATCATCTGAAATATATCTGCACTGTAGAGAGATGATGAGGAGCATGCGGTGGCTGTGCGCTTGTGGCTCTCATTCGCGCCACTGCTCGCTCTGTTTGCTACAAATATACTTTATAACTCGTCACTCGGATCTTAAAGGGATAGTGCGCGATTTTGGCAATTGAACTCATGGATACCATTTCTATGTCTGTTATTGGTGCTATCGCTAGTTAACAATTGCCCTAAAGCTAGTTATAGCAACTTCCTTCAATCAGCACGCAGAGACATAAAAATGGTATCCATGAGTTAATCTGACTCTGGGTAAGTAGAAAATAAGCTTAATTGCCAAAATTAATAATAATACAAAAAATATATATTTTGGGGGGGGAGTGGCTGCGGGGCGCCGCTGCTAAATTAATATAGGGGAAACTCTGGGTGTGTATGTGTTGAAGTAGTGTGTGTGTTTGTGCACATTTTCTACACTGCTGGTGAGTAGTGTCATGTCACTACTATTTATATTCTGTCCATACTGTCTATACACACCATTTATTATATATTTATTTACTCTGACATTGCTCGTTCTGATATTGCTTTCTTTTTTACGTTTTGTATTATGTGTGTATTGCTAGGTATTATTACTGTACTGTTGGAGCTAGAAACACAATAATTACTGTACTGTTGGAGCTAGAAACACAATCATTACTGTACTGTTGGAGCTAGAAACACAATCATTACTGCACTATTGGAGCTAGAAACACAATCATTACTGTACTGTTGGAGCTAGAAACACAATCATTACTGCACTGTTGGAGCTAGAAACACAATCATTACTGTACTGTTGGAGCTAGAAACACAATCATTACTGTACTGTTGGAGCTAGAAACACAATCATTACTGCACTGTTGGAGCTAGTAACACAATCATTACTGTACTGTTGGAGCTAGAAACACAATCATTACTGTACTGTTGGAGCTAGAAACACAATCATTACTGTACTGTTGGAGGTAGAAACACAATCATTACTGCACTGTTGGAGCTAGAAACACAATCATTACTGCACTGTTGGAGTTAGAAACAATCATTACTGTACTGTTGGAGCTAGAAACACAATCATTACTGCACTGTTGGAGCTAGAAACACAATCATTACTGCACTGTTGGAGCTAGAAACACAATCATTTCTGTACTGTTGGAGCTAGAAACACAATCATTACTGTACTGTTGGAGCTAGAAACACAATCATTACTGTACTGTTGGAGCTAGAAACACAATCATTACTGTACTGTTGGAGCTAGAAACACAATCATTACTGCACTGTTGGAGCTAGAAACACAATCATTACTGCACTGTTGGAGCTAGAAACACAATCATTACTGCACTGTTGGAGCTAGAAACACAATCATTACTGTACTGTTGGAGCTAGAAACACAATCATTACTGTACTGTTGGAGCTAGAAACACAATCATTACTGTACTGTTGGAGCTAGAAACACAATCATTACTGCACTGTTGGAGCTAGAAACACAATCATTACTGCACTGTTGGAGCTAGAAACACAATCATTACTGCACTGTTGGAGCTAGAAACACAATCATTACTGTACTGTTGGAGCTAGAAACACAATCATTACTGTACTGTTGGAGCTAGAAACACAATCATTACTGTACTGTTGGAGCTAGAAACACAATCATTACTGTACTGTTGGAGCTAGAAACACAATCATTACTGCACTGTTGGAGCTAGAAACACAATCATTACTGTACTGTTGGAGCTAGAAACACAATCATTACTGTACTGTTGGAGCTAGAAACACAATCATTACTGCACTGTTGGAGCTAGAAACACAATCATTACTGTACTGTTGGAGCTAGAAACACAATCATTACTGCACTGTTGGAGCTAGAAACACAATCATTACTGTACTGTTGGAGCTAGAAACACAATCATTACTGCACTGTTGGAGCTAGAAACACAATCATTACTGCACTGTTGGAGCTAGAAACACAATCATTACTGTACTGTTGGAGCTAGAAACACAATCATTACTGTACTGTTGGAGCTAGAAACACAATAATTACTGCACTGTTGGAGCTAGAAACACAATCATTACTGTACTGTTGGAGCTAGAAACACAATCATTACTGCACTGTTGGAGCTAGAAACACAATCATTACTGTACTGTTGGAGCTAGAAACACAATCATTACTGTACTGTTGGAGCTAGAAACACAATCATTACTGTACTGTTGGAGCTAGAAACACAATCATTACTGTACTGTTGGAGCTAGAAACACAAGCATTACTGCACTGTTGGAGCTAGAAACACAATCATTACTGCACTGTTGGAGCTAGAAACACAATCATTACTGTACTGTTGGAGCTAGAAACACAATCATTACTGTACTGTTGGAGTTAGAAACACAATCATTACTGTACTGTTGGAGCTAGAAACACAATCATTACTGTACTGTTGGAGCTAGAAACACAAGCATTACTGTACTGTTGGAGCTAGAAACACAATCATTACTGTACTGTTGGAGCTAGAAACACAATCATTACTGCACTGTTGGAGTTAGAAACACAATCATTACTGTACTGTTGGAGCTAGAAACACAATCATTACTGTACTGTTGGAGTTAGAAACACAATCATTACTGTACTGTTGGAGCTAGAAACACAATCATTACTGTACTGTTGGAGCTAGAAACACAATCATTACTGTACTGTTGGAGCTAGAAACACAATCATTACTGCACTGTTGGAGCTAGAAACACAAGCATTTCGCTGCACCTGCGATAACATCTGCAAATCTGTGTACGCGACCAATGAACTTTGATTTGATGTAAATGCGTCATAATGCAGAAACCTCAATGTTCTAACTCTCTAAATACATGACTCTGCTGTGTCCTACACTGGGTAACTGTAGATGTTGGCAATGTTTAGATGTTGTGGGTAATGTTTAGATGTTGTGGGTAACCACAGATGTTGTGGGTAATGTTTAGATGTTGTGGGTAACCACAGATGTTGTGGGTAATGTTGAGATGTTGTGGGTAATGTTGAGATGTTGTGGGTAATGTTGAGATGTTGTGAGTAACCACAGATGTTGTGGGTAATGTTTAGATGTTGTGGGTAACCACAGATGTTGTGGGTAATGTTTGTGGTCTTGAAGGGAATGCTCTGTTTCAGACAGGTGTGTATTGTATTGCAGGCATGTTGACTTTAAAAGTGTCAGCACCAGGTGTGTGTGTGTGTGTGTGTGTGTGTGTTTGCTCTAAGCTGTAATCAGTGCACTGCTGCGTCTGCAGGTATTACTAATGCATGTCTACTCTGCTCTTACGCAATACACAGCTGCGAGAGGAGGAGTGTGTGGGCTGGGAGAGACAAAGGGAAGAGAGAGGGAGGGGAAAAAAGCAATATGGTGGGACATTCATACTACATTACTGAGGGATTTCCTTGGGCTAGGACACACACACACTGCTGGGTAGGACTACACCTTGAATATCCTCCAGTACCAGTGTGTGTATAGAGCAGGGTTAGGGTTGTTCCCTCCAGTAGAATTCCAGAACCATGACGTCATGGCCCCTGATCTCTGGAGAAGAAGTCTACAACTGTCAGGAATAACCTCACTCACATTCCTCTTCCCTCACCCCAGTGTGTGTGTGTGTGTGTGTGTGTGTGTGTGTGTGTGTGTGTGTGTGTGTGTGTGTGTGTGTGTGTGTGTGTGTGTGTGATCACAGACCATAGCAAGAACTCGTGTTATCAGCAGGGGGTGAGAGTAATGAGTCTACTGGAATTTACATTCCACTATTGTGTTTTCCTTGTTGTAAAAAACACACCATGGTCACCCACATTATATCTGTGACTAAAATCTGACTACTAAGTCGACTGGACAAGAGATTTTGGAAAGATTGAGAGCTTTTCAGGTGATAAGCATAATTAATATTAGCAGCACAGATGTTCAGTTCAGTTCAGCAGTGGAAAGGACGCGCCACACCCGGCAAACACAGCCTACATCTGCTGGTGAGCTGCAGGGGAGCAAGCCATGAGTGTGAAGACAGGCTCCGCCTCTGATTATACACATCGCGCAGGTGACTCTCTTGCTTCCCCGTAGCTAACCAGTCACCACCAGCCTTCTAGTTAGCTACCCTTCGCCTGGTGAAAGGGGTACTTCGGGATCTTGGCAATGAGGCCCTTAGACTTCCATTCATTACGCTAACGCTAGCTAGCATTGGCTTGCAAAACTACCTCTAACGTCCTTCATACTGGACACAGAGACATAAAAATGGTATCTTCTAGTTCATCTGACTGGGGAAGTAGATAAAGGGCCTCACTGCCAAAATAAGAAACACAAGCTGCTTTACGAAATGAAAAACAATAGCAGCAATGAGTTTAATAGTAAATCAATAGTCTAGCTATTCTTTTCTCTCCCTTGAGAAAAGTAGGAGGTCTTTTGAATTTGTAGTCTCACTCAAGCCTCCCACTTTCCCCACTGTATTTCATAGCCAGGTTCTGTAGCCAGGTCTCCCTCTTTTCCTCAGCAAAAACGACTACTTGCGGACCGTTAACCATTTATTTAGGCTACACCTTGTTCAGTCATGTTACCTCATTTAGCTAGCTATAGCTAACAACCTGGGGCGCGTTCAGCAGGACGCAACGTTTTGGAACATTCAGATGGAGATGTGCTATGTAGAACAAACATGCCTATCTGACATGTTGAATGAGGAATAATGTCGGCTCTATTACCATGGAATTTCTATCTGCAACATTCAATAAAGTTTTTTTCAACTGAATGTGACCCTGGTAACATGACCAGTAGTCTACTGAACGTAGCCATGGTAACATAACCAGTAGTCTACTGAACGTAGCCATGGTA